TGATAACAATTACTCACTATTGAATCATAAGAATCTTATCCTCATCTCTTTTTGCCACACCCATCTAGACAAGATGAATAGTATTCAGTTGGACTCTACCTTTCCCAGCACACTGAAACTAAACTCACACTAGAAAACTTGTAAGACTGTCGCTTTGTGCCTTAATAGCCTCCCATTTTAGGTAGCCAATGTCTTAGTTGCCCTTTTTTGAACTTTTTGAAGCTGTTCATATATTCTGGGTAAATTCATACCAGCACAGACCTGGCCTTTAATTCATTATTAGGTGCGAAGAAATTTAAATTTACAAATATATTTGGTGTTGATGTTTGGGAGGATATGAAAGAAATTACAGATAACATCAGAAGATGAATGGTTTGGGCAGTGGTGTTTATGAGAGTAGGGGTGAGAGGGAGATGGGGGCACATTGTATCAATCAGGGTTCCCCTGAGAAACAGAACCAATAGCAGAAATGGATATATGTATATATTGTTGTTTGTTGTTATGTGCCATGGAGTTGGTTCCAACTCATATATATTATATATATGACTTACTTTAAATAGTCGACTCGTACAATGTGGAGGCTGGGAAGTCTAAAATGGTTGGGCAGACTAATAGGCTGGAAATTCAGACAAGAAATGATATTGCAAAAAAACAAAAGCCAATTGCTATCAAGTCGATTCTGACTCTTGGTGACCCCATGTGTGTCAAAATAGAAGTGCACGCCATAGGGTTTTCAGTGGTTGATTTATTTCATAAGTAGACTGTCATGTTTTTCTTCCATGACCCCTCTGGGTGGACTTGAACTTGTAACCTATTGGTTAGCAGCCACACACATCACCTTTTACACCACCTGGCATCTCCTTGCTCATCACAAGAAGGTTAGTTATGAGGAAGTAAAGATTTTATGGGGTACTAGGTTTAAACTTCCCATTTAAGAGAAACAAGGGAGTCAGATTATAAAATTGTTCATTCCATTATTGGTGATGGTGTTGTTCTAGGGAAAAATATGATTAACTGTAAGTTTAGTTTCTTGTACCTTTTTCTGGGGAATGTATTCTCTTATGCATTTTTTAATCTCTGTTTCTTTTTGTTTTGAATTTTTGCTTGTTGTTATTGTTGTTAAATACTATTGAGTCAGTTCCAACTCATAGTGACCCTGTATATGGTTTCTGAGGAGTGGCTGTTGAGTTTGAACCACCAAACTTGCAGTTCAATCCAACCTTGCAGTCCAGTGCTTATCCTACAGACACCCTGCTTGAAGCTATCACATAGTTTTTGAAAAACAACACACAAGTCTTCGTGCTTCTTTTGCCTTAAAATAATGGAGGCTTACTCCACTCATGGGGCCCAGGTAGCCTCTGTGATGTAAAAGGCTGTCAGACTCTATAAGCTCCCCCAAACCTAGCCGAACAGGTACAGCTCTACGTCAAGAAGACATACTTCCTGCTCAGATTTTAGAAAAAGGGAGAGACAGATAGATTGGCCCTGTGGAACAATCCATTCTTTTCAGTCCTAGCCAGCAACCCCTTTTCTCAGAAAAGAAACCACCTTTTTTTCCCTCCTCCTGTGCCCTGGTGTGTTCCTGTCATCCTGGCCATAGAGCATTATTTCTCTTACAGCTGGTGCCAGGAAGTCCAAAACTTTGAACTTTTTTCCCCCTATATTTCTCCTTTTCTCACCTCCCCTCACCCATAGCCCAAGAAACACAATTTTTATTTACTCTTTTCAGTCCTTGAGTTTTATTCATGTTTTTAGGCTTAGACATTCATCTTACTTGTCATAAAGTTCATGGAAAAATGGAATTGAAAGGTAATAGAATTTTACCATTATCTTTTTGAAGTGCCCCCCACCCCGCACCCCCGTATTTAATAGGTGACACATTTAGTTTGTTTTCCAACATAACTCTAAATGATATTGTCTCCATTTTGGTTGTTGCAAAGCCCATTTTAGTCTTTAAAAGAAAAAAAAAAAGCTGTTCTGTTTCTTCAGTTTGTGTCTCTTTGGGAGGCGTCTGCCAACTAACCTCTGAGCAGGGTGTGTGCCTGTTAGCAACATAAATAACCATGAGTCACAAGAAGAGGGATTCACTCAGTAACTGTTTGTTGGCTTTTAAGGAGTGAGGCACTGTGCTGGCTGCTGAACTGAATATAAAGACAAATAAAAGTACCTGCTTTCAAGGAATTTACATTCTCACTATACAAGTATATAAGTTCCTCTCTGTTTCCATGACACCAAGTATATATCTTTTATTGTAGTGTCTGATACTTGTGTTCCTGGTGCCTACTGATTAATGACATAAAATACAAGAGTAAGTGAAAAAATATTGCTCCCAGGGTTCAGTTCAGACTTGCCCGGGTTTATTCTGAACACAGTCCTCTCAGTAATAAACTTGTATTAGTCTCTTTAGGATGTCTTCAAAAACAAGGTCCAATCAAAACAGTCGCTTCTAAGGGGATCTGCTGGCAAATTAAATTCAAGGCAGTGAGAGGCTAGTTCAGAAGATTATGATGGGTGTTTGGGGGAACCCCAAAGGGATAATCCTTATAGATTTTCTTGAAGGACACAGAACACTCACAGAGTCCTATTAGGAAGAAATTTTAAGAAAATCAGAAGCTGCATTTGTAAGCCAAAGGCCTGAAAAGTTAAGGATTTCACACACACACACACACACACACACACACACACACACAGCCTGACAATGTTCTTGTCCGTTCTTTGAGGGTAGCAAGGACTGTCTTATGGAAATTTCATTGGAGAACTGTATCCCACACACCCTATATCCTTGTTGTTGCCCCTTCATGCTTCTTTTTATTCCCCAAACTCGAAGAACGTTGAAAAGGAGCACAATTTATATCCTTCAAGGATGTTGTGTAAATTGAAAAGCACAGCCTTCCTTGGGAAAGGTTAGAGAGATACGAATGCCACCTTCAGAAGGGTGTAGACCTAGATGGAGGATATACCAAGAAGCAAAAGCTTCACCTTTTGATATTTTTGTTTAACAAAGGCTTCTGTGATTTTGCAATAATACGTTTTGATGTATGCCATGTATTAATAGCCACATGAATGGTATAAAGTGTTACAGGGGTACAAGATGATTCATTTACAGTAAGTACTGCTCCTTCCCAGGTTTCTTTTTATTGTTGGCAAGGATAAAATAAACCCAAACCAATGCCAAGTAAATATTAGAATGTGTGTGAGTACTTCAGATCAGTCAGTGCTCTAGGTTTTCTTCTACCATAAATTAATGATGCCACTTTGATCTTGTGATATTTTCTCCAAATTTTTGTAAGCTGCATTAGCCTTTCAGTTCTTCTAATACATCAGGCTTTCCTTAGGACCTTTGAGCATGTGGTACACCTTGTCAGTAATGTTCACCCTTCTTATTAATTCTGCTCATTCTTCCACTATTTTCACTTAAACAAGTCTTCCCTGAGACCCTTAAATGGTCTCATGACTCCTCTTTCATAGAGCATGTTTCTATTGCACTTAAGCAATTGAGTAATTATTTGTTTGTTTGACTTCTCTGGTAGAGGTATATTTGTAGTGGCAAAGATGCCATGTCTCTCTGAACTCCTGGAATACACCTCTTTAACAATCTTTTCTGGAACAGTGATTGAAAATTAGTTTCCAATATATTGGTGGTATTGTAGAAAGTCTTCAAAAAAGCATGTATTACTAGATTTCATTTCTATCCAACAGTCTAGTAGTTCCTGTTGGTAGGGCAACATTTATTCATGTTTTTAAATGCCTCTTTACTATCTGGGCTGAGTGATAAGGAATTGGATGAGAATAGACCATTCTCAAGAAGCTCACAGTCCAGGGATAGAAGCAGATGTTTACTTAGTTAGGGTGGAGCGTGTTAGGGTTCTGCTTTATGGTGGTGAGAGAATTGGTGGAAGGAGACTGTTTAGCCTTGAAGGGAGAGTTATAGAAGATTTCACTGGGCTCTTGAACCCAGTGTTGAAGGATGAACGTAAGTTTGCTAAATGGGAAGAAAAAGTCACTGACAAAGGCATTGAGGTGTAAGAGCATGGTGTTCCTGGAGCTTTAAAAATACTTAGGAATTCAAAGAGTGAAACAAGGAAGGTACAAGGTTCAAGTGCTCAGAAGGACGGTGACCACTGTAGTGAAATGTGATTACATGCATCTGAATTGCAGTTAGCTGAGGCAATGAGAGATGAAGAGGAAAGTTTGTCGGGAGGGTATTAGCTAGACTGGTGGGGAGCATCCTGGAATAAGAGAGATGTTGGTTCTGCTTCAGAGTTATGGAGATTTAAGTATGTTTGCAGAAGAAGATAAAAGGAATAGTTGATGGAATGGGAAGACATGGATATAGAAAGTAAAGAAGATGCCAGCCTTGAACTTGGAGAAGAAGAACTTTTCCCATGAGTTTAGAGGGAAGGATCCAAGATGACCACAGATACAGTTAGTGGATGAGTGAGGAGTTGAGTAAGGTCATTCCCTATGCTCTTACCTCCTTTAAGAAATAGGAGATCAGAGGTGGGCTAGGGCTTGGGAAGCCTTGTGAAACTTTGGATTACCATTTTGAGGAATGGTGAAGGAACTTAGGAGGGGCAAGAGAAAGGTTTTTGTCTTTTTGAATGTACCCTGATAGTATAGACAAGGTCGAGTTCCACAGATGTGGACTGGTGCCAGTTCATAGACTGGATGATTTTTCTCAAGCTCATCTCACTGGCCCTGGCATTGAGAGTAGAGTTAGATCAATCCAGGAATAGGTGCTTAATGGAGTCAAGGGGTAGATAATATGAAAACAAGTTATTCATTAAAGTGATAGCTCATGCAATCCAGGAAAGTAAATAAGCCTAGAAGGGGTAGGAAGAAATCAGAATATTTGAGGGATTAAAGGTTGCAGTGAGGTTGAAAGGCAGCTATTTGAAATTATAGTTTGGACTAGATTTTGTTTTCTCTTTTGGTAGATCAAAATACAATATCATTTTGAGTTTATATTATTCTCAATATATTATTTCCATCTGTCTTAGGAAAACAGGAAATCATTTTCACAACTTCATAAGTTGGCAAGACCTAAGAGCTGCTGACCTTGTAAAATCTTGGAATAATTCTCTTATAATTAAGGTAATCTGTTTCTTCTTATCATCTGTGATTTGGGTATTATTGTTGTTCTTACAAATGTCTCTTAACTGTGTCTTAGTGTACACTGTTCTGCATATGTTGCTTTAGGATATTAAGAATACACACACACACACACACACACTCACTCACTATAATAGTGATATTTAGTAATGGTCATCCAAAAGCATACGTGGTAGACTTATGTACTTAACTGGTCTTAGTGTACACTTCTGCATATGTTGCTTTAGGATATTAAGGATACACACACACTACAGTAGTGATATTTAGTAATGGTCACCCAAAAGCATATGTGGCAGACTTATGTACTTAACAACTACACCTTGGAAAGTCCTGAGAAGACTTTAAGGTGGGCCAAAATATCACATGTTAATGAAAATTCATGTTTCTGGCCTTGAGAAATGGAAAAGATACAGATTAGATAGGATAAAGTGTTTAAATTTCATCATCTTTTGTTATAAAAAACAACCAAACATTATTGAAACAAGCTATTAAAATTATACTTTCCATGTGTAATTTATACATTTAAGGCTTAAAATGAGAAAGAAAAGATTGATATTTATGTTTTCCTGTCATTCATTCAATAACTTAATCCAAGCAGCCTAATGGAATTCAGGAGTCCTGGTGTGATGCTGTAGGGTAAGCCTGGACCACAAGGTTGGTTTGAACTACAAGGTAGGTAATTCAAATTCACCAGCCACTCCTCAGAAACCCCATACAAGGTCTCTGTGAGTCAGAATTGATTTAGCACTTAGCAGCAACAATCAAATTCAGAATTAATAGAATCTGTGGTACAAAATAGTAGCTTAGTCAGATACACCACACCATTCTACAGCAAATACCTGAGAAACTAAGTGAAACAGATACAGAGGACAGTCCTGGAACCCTGAATATCAAATGAAAGGATAAAGAACTAGATGGAACACTGATTGGAAAAAGAACCCACTAAAGACAGTGAATGAGAAGAAACAGAGCAGAGTGGCCCTGCCAACTGGCCTGGCACATTGTGGCCATCTTGAGACAAAGACCACTGCAGTCATGGGTAAGGAATACAGAAGCAACTTCATGGAATTCCCAGTAGTACATAGAGTAACTATGTAGAAAAACCCGTATGGAAATAAGGTCCTAATTTCTGACTACTGTCATTGTGAAGTGCTTAGGCACCCTTGCCTGGGGACTAAATGAGAACTTGTAAATGAGAACTTGCCCCCTCCTCTCCCCTTCCTGGTGATTATTGTCACAACACCCGTATCCCCATTCCTGCAGCTCCAGCTGCCACATACCAAGATGTGAACCCCCCTACTCTCCTCCAGTCCTAAACTCTACCCTCACTCCTCTCCTTTCCAACACCCTTCCCCCACCTGATAGCTTCACTGAGCAACCAGCAGTTTGCCTAGGTGTGGCACCAGCAACTCACCTCACCCCTTTCATTTCTGACTCATCCAAGTGGCAACAGATTACTCCAGTGTGGCTTTGCCACTCACCTACCCCCTGTAGCCTGCTGACCCAGGAATAAAGGAAATGAAAATAAAGTCTATAAACCAAAAAGAACTCAGCATATAAAAATATATGGAGCAAAGAAATGATCAATACTATGTTAATACACACACACACACACAACAAAATGAAGCAGTAAATTTATGCCTATTATAATTGCACTGATGTTAATGAATGAAATGCACCATTCGAGAGACTAAGCATGGCAGAATGTATAAGAAAATATGACCCATCAGTATGCTGCCTACAAGAGACACATTATAGACATAATGATAAAAATAAACTAGCCTTAGGACCATAGCCTCATGGATATCTAGGGCAATTGACATAACATGATCCATAAAGACAATGTCCTATAGCCTACATTGGTGAGTAGCAACTGGAGTTGTAAAGCTTGCAAGTGGCCATTTAAGTTGAAACTATTGATCTCTTCCAACCTGGAGTGAAAAAGAATAAAGAAAATCCAAGATTCAAAGAAACAATCAGCTCAAAGGACAAATGGACCACATGAACCACAACCATAATCGAAACCAGGAGAACTAGATGGTGCTCCGTTATGACCACTGGCCAGCATCTGACCTGCTTTGGCCTGAAGGTACCAGATAGAGTGGGAGAAAAAGGTAAAACAAAGTTCAATTTCATAAAAAAAGCTAGATTCACTAGTCGGGTAGAGATTGGTAGAACCTCGAGACTATGGCCCTTAGATATGCTCGTAACTTAGAATTGAAGCCATTCCCAGAGATCATTTTTCAGCTACATAAAAGACAGGATTCTAAAGTGAACATTAACATCCAAGAGGAACATGTTTCTCAGAACAATCAACTTTATGAGACCAAAAGGGCATGATTTTCCCAGCTGTAAAGTTAAGAAGGCAGGAAGGTGCCGAAAAAGTGGATGAATGGAAACAAGGATCCCAAGGTGAAAATGGGGAGAGTGCTGACACGTTATGGAGATTATAGCCGGTGTCATGGAACAATCTAAATGAATTACTGAATGGGAAATTAATTTGCTTTTTAAATTTTCACCTAAAGCATAAAATTTCAAACAAAAAAACCAGAGCATGAAGGAAATTAAAGGCTCTCAGAAGAAACTAGTCCACACCAAGCACAGACTCTCCTGCTCTGAGATCAGAAGAATTTGATGGTGCCCAACTACCACTACTGATCCAGCTGACCAGGGGACACACTAAAAAGGTCCTGCATAGAATGGAAGAAAAATATAGAGCAATATTCAAATTCCTAAAAAGGGGCAGACTTATTGAAGTGACAGAGATTAGAGGAATCACCAAGATTATCATTCTAAAATACCCTTTGAACATGGAATTGAAACTATTTCTACACCTTTCAGTTAAGTAATAGATTGGCTCATAAGATAAAACAGTATCACCCATGAGTAATGTGCTCCCTTAAACAATAAATTCTATGAAGCAAAATGGCCAACATTTCTAAAAAATCAAAGATGAGAAAGCTAGCTAGATTAATGGAAACAGAACCAACAGATTGGAAATAATGAAAATGTAAAATTCTAACTAATGGTATGAAGCAATTTGTATGAAAATGTTAATTCATCCATCCACTGCTACTGTGTCGATTCCACTCATAGATACCAAGTATAGGGCTTCCAAGGCTGTAAATCTTTATGGAATAGAAAGTCCCCTTTCTCCCATAGAGAGGCTGATGTATTTGAACTGCATACTTTGTAGTTACCAGTCCAGTGCTTATCTGTAGCCCCACCATTTGCTGTTTAAACTTTTATGTAAAACATAATAAAATGCTGCTGTTGTTTTTGTTAAGTGCCACAGAGTTGATTCTGACTCAGCAACCCTGTACAGGATTTCCAAGGATCAGCTGCTCTATCTGGATCACAGTAGGCAACTCTGGACAGAATGAGAGAAAATGCAGAACAAAATTCAAAATGGTGCAAAAGACCAGACTTACCAGTTTGATGGAGACTGGTGGAACACCCAAGACTATGTCGTTAGACACTCTTCCAACCTGGAACTGAGCCTATTCCCAGAAATTACTTTTAGCCAAACAATAGGATTATTCTGTGAATAATAATACTTTTGTGGGACATGCTTCTCAGAATAATCAATCATATGATATCAAAAGGGTAGCATTTGCTCAAAAACAAAGTTCAGAAGGCAGGAAGGGGCAAGAAAGATGAAATAGAAATCGGGTACCAAGGAGGAAGTGAGAAGAATGGTTTTACATTGAGGGAATTTCAGCTAATGCCTCATAACAAAATGTGTGTAGATTGTTGAATGGAAAACTAATGTGCTCTGTAAACTGTCATTCAAACAATAATAAAATGTTCAAAAAAATTAAATATAATCTCATTTATTGAGATTATCTTATGTGAAAAACCATATTACTAGTATGAAGGAAGAATCTGTCAAAAAAAGAAAAAGATTGCATGTCTCATGCTTATAAAAATTAAGGGCATGTTCTGTGAATTATGTCAGTCTCAGAAAGTTTAAAAATACAAAAGAACCAGGTGAAATACAACCAGGGAGGTATGCCAAGAGATAGAGGTAAAGAGATCTATACACCACCTAGAAGCAACAGTGTTCTATGTGTAGGTACATGAGCAGAGACACAGGCTGAATGGGCATGGGAGGAAGAGTGGGATAGATATAAATACTTATATCCCACAAATATATAAGAGTTTGGAAGAAGTTATTTGTACATGGGTAACAACAGGAAATAGTACTGGTATGATGCTGCGGGTTAATGCGCTGGACTGCAAGGTCAGTTTGAACCACAAGGCCAGTGGTTCAAGCTCACCAGCAGATCCTCAGAAACCCTATACAGGATCGCTACAAGTTGGAACCAATTCAATTGTACTTAACAACAACAATCACAGGGAAGAAGCGAGATAACTGTTATTGCATGGAGGGGATTGCAGTCATTGAGATGAAACTAAGTGTATGATTTGTTGTTCAAGGTAAAATTGATTATCTCACCTGAAAACCTTTATTCAATTCACAATAAAAAGTTAAAGTAAGTAAACAGAACCTCAATTACATTACTTTAACAAGTAGGGATTTAAATTTCTCTGAGTTTATCAACTCTGTTCATCTCTTTTTTTTTTTTTTTCATTTTGTGTTTAATAAATATATTAAATGTACCATGTTAATATAATTGTAATTGTAGTATGGGTGTATACATACATTTTATCTCTCAATCAGTTAGAATTAGATGTGACTGCATTGAACAGAGATGTGAGTCTTTTGCCTCAGACACACAGAAGTAAATATGCTTGTTTCAAAATATAGATTGGCAAAAAATGGGCACAGGATATGAACAGACACTTCACCAGGGAGGAGATCCGGGCAGCCAACAAACATATGAAGAAATGTTCACAATCACTAGCCATTAGAGAGATACAAATCAAAACAACAATGAGATATCATCTCACACCAGCAATAACAGCAAGGATT